TCCCCTGTTTTGGACAAAGGGAAAATGTGTACATTGAGAATATCAACATCATAGAAATGCATCTAATACAATATAATCCAACAGGATGTCAAGGCCCAGAATCACAGTTCACACATGTGCACTGTTCTTTGCCAAAGTTCACACCCCATGCTAGGCTTTTGGTCCAAAGGGCAGCACACTGTTCAAAATGTAAAATGGTTTGACTATGCACACTGTCTAAGACTCAGGACTGTTGATGAAAACCTTAACCTGCCAAGCAGCAAATACAGCTGTACCTATTTAGAGTAATTGACTGATTGACACAGTTCTAGAAAAGAGGATAAGGTTTGGCAGTGTTAACCATACTTACCTAACAGAACACAACACATTGTCCTACAGTTACCACTCCATATATGTTTGAAAGGGTCTCAAACTTCTCCTCTCGACTCTGGCTCACAGCATAGTATTGTTTAATGTTGCCCAACCATACATACCCTTTCATCATGTAATAGAGTCCACATTGGTTTGGGTATAACAGACATTGCAAACTTCATCACCTTCTCATTGCGTGTTTCAAAAATGAACTGCATTTGACAGCCTTTGGGTTAAGTCCTTGGAAAAAGAGGAACATTACTTAATACCTTAATCAAGCTCTTGGGGACATTCTGAGATAAGGAAAGTAAGAGAACAACATCTACACTATACATAATCCCATTGACAAGTGGTGAGATGTTAGTGCGCTGGACTCCAGTTCAAGAGTACCTGACTTGTGACCCGGTTGAGTCATTTAATTTGTTCCTGCATTAAAGGCCATGTTAATCTCAAAGTGCCCATCTCCACCCAGGAGTATAAAAGGGTGGAAGTGAACTGTCAGAGAAGCTCAATAAAATGCTGAGCAGTAACCCTGTGATGGACTGAAATACCATCCAGGGGAGAGTAGCAATATTCCTGATCACTTCATGCTAAGAAGGCTGGAATAAGCTCTAGTCCCTTGTAGGCTACTTGGATTGAGTGCAGACTTCAACTTTTGCTCATTTCATTGCAGCCTGTGCTGAAAATGAGCCTGGACTTACCTGAACCCCAGATGAAAAGGTTCAGGTTCAAGCTCAAGCCTTAGTTGTGCTTATAAGAAACACAGTTTCCCCTCACAGTACTTTAGACTTACACCCAGTGACATGATTGGTTACTGTCAGGGATGTAAGGTAAAGTTTGTACTCAAACCAAAAGGCTCATCCAGCCACAGCTTTTTCATTTGTGTAGAATGAAACGACTTGGAGTATTATGGATGCCAGTCCACTGTGAGGTAGCCCCCCACCCAAACATTTAATCGGGCTTTCCAGACAATTTTGCAGAACCCATTTGTACTCCAGACTGGAAAGAGGCACTGTGAGAGTACACTATTTTGACCAAGAAAACAACACAATGATGCAGCCAGGTCTAAAATATGCAGCTCCCAACCCTGAGTCGAGCGCACTGACACTGTATCTCTCAACTGTCAGGGAAACCGCGTGAAATGCTGCACATGCTGCCATCCCATCCAAGGGTGGGAGGGGGAGAGAAGCAATACTTCAAGTCACTTAATGACACGTTATGTAGCGACCATTATAAACTCTAGCAGCTTTGCAAGTCAGTCTGCTATGCAGACGTGACCATCCCATTCATCTTAAATATGAAGCTCAAGACTCACTTGTGTAGTCTAATTGACTGATCTTGGTGTCCCTGTAGAGCAGTCATAACATCAGCTTCATCTAACACACACAGCTTGATAGTCTTTGGATCCAGAACTATGTATTTTAGAATCCAGTCAAGGAGGGAGCCATGTGTTCCAAATATTATGTGATCTGTTACTTTCTTGCCCCTTGGAACTGCTAAAAAAAAAGAATGGTTCAGTTACAAATGTAACAGCAAAAAAGGCTGCTCTTTTCAGATTTACGTTTGGTAAGAATTTGCTTTGCTAATAATTGGACTTCTTTTGTTTCATTTAGCACTTGATAACTCAATATTTCTTGGCTGTTAACCCTTTGACCCCTGAGAATGATGAGTAGTTAATTTCTCCTTACAGTATCACCCCTGGATCACGCATTCTCCTTTTCAGCACTTAAGAAAATGTATACATAACAGTAGGCTGAGAGTTTTCATACTGATGTAGGGTGTAAAGGGTTAGCAGTTTTATTATGTTTTTTGCAAAATTCCTCACCCCTTTCTCCTCTTACTGCATAACCAATTTTGATCTCTGGCAAGAATTTTCCCATTCTTTTAGCAACTTTGCCCCTTTGTAATGCCAGGTTATATGTTGGTGATAAACACACTTCCTGAAAACAAACAATATGGAACCATGAAAAATGACACCTGCTACATCAACATCATTATTTTTTTCACCTTCAGTTTTATTAACCCACTGCACACCTATACCTATATCAAATACATATTTTGACAACAAAATTTCAATTAGCACGTGCAAAACAAAACTGTGAAAAAATGCAATTTTTATCATTTTATAATTATCTTCCTTCATCTGAAAAATCATGAACTTTTAACTATTCATTTGGAATATTACTGCTATGGTATTGTTAAATTCACCAAGATAGAAATAGTCCACAAAACAGGTGTAATTTTGGTGAGCAAGTGCTCAGTATTTTCTTGGTGAAAATTATCTGTATCTGTAATGCCTGAGCACTAAGCTAACAACAACCTAACCAACAAACAAACAAATTTCCAGTTGATTTAGGTCAAATTGTTCACATTGGAATTCTGACAGGAGTGAAAAAGATATTTGTTGAACAATACTAGTAAAGGATCAAACACATTTATTTTAGAAGATATGGTGTACAAATCTGTAACAGCCGTCAATTCGATGTCAATTCCACGTTTTATTCGATCCGATCAACTACGCTCAGCACACCGTTCGAATACAATACCGTACAAGAAATCCTTACAAACAAGCAAGTGTCTCTATCCGTAACCTTGAAAACTGCTGAAATATCCGTAATGCTTCCGTAATGTTCTATTCCTTCGATGTGAGACTAGTTAAACGATCCTTATCCGAGAAATAAAGGCGAAAATAACAAGCGATAAAAGCACATGTATGCCGAGGTTTGACCTAGTGTCGAATGACAACACCTCGGCGCAGACTGGGCCTAGTGCACAGGACACCTAGCATTTACAAATCATTTCAGCTGAAATGTGTAAGGATTCAAAGTATCCTGTTTTCTGTGTAGGAGAATTTGTGTGTGTGCATTTGTTGAAGCAACCAATATAAAGCAACTTTCTTACTGCACTTACTGTAGTTTCTTTGATTTCTTTTCAAAAACTCTTTTTCAAAATTTGAGTTGCTAAACTGGGGGTGTGGCATATTTGCGAGTGTGGCTTATCAGCCATTGTTAACTGTAATAAAGGTAATTTAACATCAGTCTGAAATGGAGAGACAAATTTCAATGAATGTTCATCTTAACTCTCAACACTTACCAGTCTCTGGAAAGCTCAGAAAAAAGGTTAGCTCAATTTATTTGATTCTGACAGGTCCATTCCATATTGACCAATCATGATAAAGTTCAGGGTTTGCAAACAAATCTCAAAATCTCAAACTTGTTACCATAGCTGACATTTTCCTTAGAACACAATAAATTCCATACACATTCTGTTTTTCACTTTTTTCTGTGTTTCAAATTGAAGAAACTAATAAAATAATGGCCTCACTGGACTAAGCTTTCTGTAAAATTGAAATCAAGACTTGAAATGAAGGCATACATACAGAGGCAAGCCATTAAATGACATGAAGGAGCCTAATGGAGGGCCTGGTTCAATCCATTGCACTTCATCATCATTCCTATTTTGGACCAGATTATTCCTCCAAACTGTGAATGACTGAAAATTCAATAATAACATTAACATACCACTGCATGGTCTCCAGCGACCTATTTCATAGCAATTGGTCAAAGATTAATTCGAAAAGATGCATCCAAAACTGGAGAGTATTATTTTCAGGTGAAATTCTCTAAGTTATCTAATTTTTCCTACCATTATGTCATATGCATATCATACCATAGCTAGTAATTCTATGCAACTCATGTCAATTTTACAAAATTGCCTCGTTTTCACATTGTATGTGTTGATGATGTGTGTGCATCCAATGAAACACAAAAGAGGGGAATTTCTCCTAATACAATGTTTAAACTACCGAAAAAAATCGAAAATTAATCTCCTCTAAAATCAGCCTTGCTCCAAAAAGTGGGCTCCACAGGTCAGTCATTGTTTGTACATCAAGAAAATTGTGTTTTATCAACTGAGTTGATAACGTATTTGGCAACGGTAAAGAGTTTCAAAGCTGACATTCTAAACATAAGCCCCTTTAGTTTTTCTTCGTCGGAGTGAAAGATGAAGGGCTAACTCCTTGAAATGTCAGCTTTGAAACTTTTTACGGCGGATAATTTACATTATAAACTCAGATGATAAAACCAAAATTATCTTGTTATACTCCCCCAGTGATACACCACGACAGTTTCTTTGGAAAATTACCCCCTTTATGATAAACTTTGTATATCAGTTGCATGTAGAAATCGTTCACACTGTTTTATAACTAAGTTAATCAGTGACATCGAACACTGCGTTTTGTTCGACATATTCTTGTTTAACCGGTTTGATCACGTGCGTTTTTTTGTAATAATATCCTGATTTCGCTTTAAGAGTTTCAATGTTTTTCGATCGAGCGAATTGATGTATGAGTGATTCCTACAAAATAAACGAATTTAACGGAGTTTCAAATACGATTATATTCATTGCTATACATCCCAACTAATATTGATAAATAGTGAATAACACTGGGATCGTAGGATGATGTAACTCTAGGTTATAAAGTGAATCATACCATCACCATTTCCACACATTCTCAGGCCAAAAATTCAAGGTAAAACTGAAATGTCATCTGATGTAGGGTTACCGTTGTGTCTTTCGTTGTAATTATGTCCTCACACCTAATAACCAATAGAATGCGGTTTTATTTCTTCCAATCAAAGTGCGTTGTGAACGTGTCTTCTGCGTGTCACTTCCCAACTAGGGGAGGGATGCAATGCAAAATTGTGAGACGATCGGTAAGTTTTCCGCGCTCGAAGTTTGAGAATTTCATGGGCTATCCTCGATGCCTTTTGGGACACTTCGGATTGGCGAAAGATTAAAATTCTGGTTGCGTTTTTAAGTGCGAAGTATTAGTGAAATTTTCTTCGATAGGTTGGAGAGCTTAGGAATGGTTTGGAGTGCACTGGTGATCGAAGTTGTGCTTTTCTGTCGGAACTAGTGTAGTAAGGTAAGGTAAGGTTGCATTTTATGCTAGTATTTTTGTTAAATTTAAGTATTACAACCATTCTTCAAAGATCGCGTTCAAGTTTTGGGCTAAATACTGTAGATTTCATGTGACTGCATGGTAAAGCGTGCGAGTAACTACTAACCTGGATCCATTGAATCCTTCAGGTTTTCTTTTGAAGGAAGGTTTTCCTCCAGGCTGATTTTTTTATTTTGTGTGGGACATGCAAAACTAGATGTTACATAATTAAAGAACAGGACAGATCTCGGTGTTCAATGACCAAAAATTTGCAATTTTCCTCCAGCCTTATAATTATTTCTATTCATTATTGCTCCTACATGTGTTAGCAAGAACTTGGTCTTGTTGGCGTTCATTGTGAGCATTTGGTGATCCATATCTTAGTGGAGAAACTCTCTGCAACTATCTTGGTGTAGAAAATACCAATCGTTTCACCCTTACTTAATTTCATTCATACAGGCAAGGATGAAAACCAGCAGCAAAGCAAAGCAAAAAAAAGTGCTGAGGAGGTGGCAAGCTCTATTGTAAACATTTTCATGGCAAATTATGCACTAGTTATAAAATGGTATACGTTGTGCTTAATTTTTGTCCTCAGTATAAACATCATTTTCCTTTGGTTTTGTTAATGATACAAATGAAAAATGCATTTTGTGTAAAGAAAGATAAAATTTAGCTCTTAGCCTAAGTTATGATGAGATGATGTGTCACGCTCAATTTGGCCTCTATTTAAAGTAAAAGAATTAAACTGAGGATAAAACTAAACCACAGCATACCTATACTAAACCCTCATTTTATTTGTATCAATATTACTATTTTTTCTGGTGTTCACCCAATAGATTCAATCCACTCACAGACAAAGATGGCACCCATGCATTTTACCATTACTCTTAGGCTAAGGCACATGTAGAAAGCAACATTTCGCAAAACAACAACATCATGTATGCAAGGTTTAAATTTTCAGACCTTTACTGCTTGTTTTTATGAGTGGTTCCAGGATTTCTTGTGAAAAGAGTTCTGGTTGAATGTACCAGTCGCCATGTTTTTTGGTATGGTGGTTTGCAGTAATTGTTGTATGAAGTAACCTTCACCAATATTAATTTTGTGAACTTGTCACTGACAGAGAGCTAGTTCATGATTAGACATTGATTGTTTCATTGATTGCCATGCTCTACATTTATCATTGTAATACTAATTAACTCCTCTGCCATCAGTAATCACATTAAAGATACTGTGTTAGAAATCACAGCACTGTACCCCAAAATCTAATGTCATCCTCAGCACAATTTCATTTTTTGAGCAAGGCAAAAGTAAAAATCAAACAAGACCACACAGACATCACCACAGAGACAACATTGTTATGTATAATGTTTATATAGTTGGTTATGTAAAAGCTACTCTATTCATTAATTCAGTGTCAATACTCTCCCTCATAGCAGCTATAATTTTTAGCCAACTTGGGAAATAGTGACCTAAAATGGACCCTTTTGGACATCCAAACTTTTAAATTTCCAGGGGAAGGTTCCCCAGGCTTTGCCATCCAAGTGGGAATAAATGGCTGCCACACTGTCATTTTGGTCCCTCCCAGCTGCTCAAACATTGTCCCTCCTTTCCACAATCTTACCAAAGCCACTATATGTGTAGTAATAAAAACATTGAAGTAAAGTGTGCTATCTAAGCAACAGATGATAATCATGCACACTTTTAAGTGAGTCATCCTAGCAGATGTTTGGTGAGGTATTGCATTTTGTGCTCAAAATCTATTTCACATAGACCTGGGAAAAAAGAATGGGGTGTAGCAGTCATTCAGGTCAGTTAATTGCTCCAAGCTCTAATTCGATACCACTGTTCATTTGGTAATCTTTCTTGCCAATACTCTCTTGTTAGTTGGGTTTTCTTGAAAACTCTTCCCATTGAGAAGAAGCATAATATGTGTTTACAAATTAAAAGCAAAGAAAAAAAAATAGGAGAGTAACAGGATGGTATCAAAGACAGTGTTACAGTTTTTTTTTTGCAGGGGGGTAATTTTTTATCTTTGAATCAGATTTTTAGCCTAAGTATGTTTAAGTTTCTACACTTGTTGTTTATTCTTGTGATTTCTTGCTTTAAGAAGTGAGGTAAAATTGTTTGAATTTGTTTTTTCATTACAGTCACTTGAGTCTGTAAATGGAAAGAAAACACTGAAAAATGACGGTAAGGAACACATTGCTTGCACTATAAAGAATTGATAGTAATTTGCAACTCTCCATATTTGTTATTCATAATTGACATGCTTTGCACAGGTGTTGTGTGATTACTGGAGAAGTTAACTGTATTTCAAAAATAAAATCACTTTAAATTGCAGTGAAAGCTATTACTTCTACAGTTATAAAAGTATCAATGGCAACCCCTCTGAGAACCTTCCCCAGTGTCTGTGATATAGAAGTGTCCACTAAATATAGGTCAATTTATTAGGAAATGTGGGAAGAATAGTATGCAACTGAAAATACAAGTAAGTACCGGAAAACAATATTTAATCCTTGCAGCTGAGTAATCTCAGAACAGCTGTGTGGGGCTGGAAATTAATAGTGCTGGAATACAACAGTAAATCCTGCTGAGAAACTGAGAACAGCTGTGTGGGGCTGGAAATTAACAGTGCTGGAATACAACAGTTAACTCCTGCTAAGAAACTGAGAACAGCTAAGAGGGGCTGGAAAATAACAGTGCTGGAATACAACAGTTATCTGCTGCTGAAATTCAGAAACAAGAACCTTTTATAAATACTTTCGTAAAACAATACACTGGGCATGCTGTAATATCTTCCATTGCCTCAATTCTAGTTACTTGTAGAAAGGTCATCTCTGAACCATTAAATAGGATCTGTTTTGCCAGTTATGGAAAGAAAAACTCTTAACCCTTTAACCCCTAAGAGTGACCAGCTTCTAATATCTCTTACAATATCACCCCTGAATCAAACATTTAGGTCATGAGAATCAAGGAAATGACCAACAGCTTATGAAGCTCTTGATTTTTAAACAAATTATTTTTGTCAGGGCTTCAGGAAATGTATAGAGAACAGTAAGGAGAATATGCATACTGATGTTAGAGTGTAAAGGGATTAATAAATAAATGTATGTTAAATGTAGCAATCCTATATAGCTATTACTTATTCACAAATACTATATTTTATTTGGCAGATTGTAGTTGCAATGGATGCCAGAAATATTTTTCTGAAAAACTGGTGTAGTGTTGTCATTCAGACATAGAGAGACTATTCCTTCTTCACTGCCAAAGGCTAACTGAACTTTATTGATTAACACGTTACACATATACAAGTATAAGAGTTTACTGACTTGAATTGCAAGTAGTACATTTACTGAATTAAGTACAAAGTGCTCACCTTAGAACCCATATTAAGGTGGTTGTCAATAATTAAGATAGGTACATGTATAATCAATACACTACAACTGGCAGATACAGTTTCTATTGTACTCCAGTATATACATCTTTCCCAAAAGATTGTATTTCTTTAGAGAAGAATGAAAACTTAAAAGCATTCTTTAATCAGTATAAAAGACGGTTTTTTGAACGACGTAGTCTGAAAAGACCAGTCTACACACTAAAACTTAACCAAGAAGGTAAGATTGTCCGTGACAAAAATGGCATCCTTGTTGTTTTGGTCAACAGTTATGTTCAAGGAGAACTTAAGACTACAAAGCAACTTCTCCACAGAGAGGCTGTAGATGGTGTATTAAGCAGTTTAGACTACATTAAAGGTGTCCTTGGAGAGGATACTTGCCTAATATTTCACAAAACAACAACATTATGTATGCAAGGTTCAAATTTTTCAGACCTTTACTGCTTGTTTTTATGAGTGGTTCCAGTATTTTCTTGCGCAAAGAGTTCTGGTTGAATGTAGCAGTCGCCATGTTTTTTGGTATGGTGGTTTACAGTAATTGTTATATGAAGTAACCTTCACCAATATTAATTTTCTGAACTTGTCAGTGACGAAGAGCTAGTTCATGATTAGATATTGATCGTTTCATTGATTGCTGTGCTCTACATTTATCATATCAAGTACTAATTAACTCCTCTGCCATCAGTACTTGCATTAAACATATTGTGTTAGAAATCACAGCACCATACCCCAAAATCTAATGTTGTCCTCAGCACAATTTCATTTTTTGAGCAAGGCAAAAGTAAAAATCAAACAAGACCACACAGACATCATCGCAGAGACAACATTGCTATGTATAATGTTTATATAGTTAGTTACGTAAAAGGTACTCTATTCATTAATTCAGTGTCAATACTCTCACTCGTAGCAGCTATAATTTTTAGCCAACTTGGGAAAAAGTGGCCTAAAATGGACCCTTCTGGACATCTGAACTTTTAAATTTCCAAGGGAAGGTTCCCCAGACTTTGCTATCCAAGTGGGAATAAATGGCTGCCACACTGTCATTTTGGTTCCTCCCAGCTGCTCAAACGTTGTCCCTCCTTTCCACAATCTTACCAAAGCTACTATATGTGTAGTAATAAAAACATTGAAGTGAAGTGTGCTATCTCAGCAAGGGATGATTATCATGCACACTTTTAAGTGAGTAATCCTAGCAGATGTTTGGTGAGGTATTGCATTCTGTGCTCAAAATCTAGTTTATTTAGACCTGGGAAAAAAGAATGGGGTGTAGCAGTCATTCGTGTCGGTTAATTGCTCCAAGTTCTAATTCGATACCACCGTTCATTTGGCTAGCTTTTTGCCAATACTGTTTCGTACTGTTTCTTGAAGACACTTCCCATTTAGAAGAAGTATTATATGTGTATGAAAACTGTATGAAATTCATTTTGGAATTATGTAAATTATGTATACAGTGTTTACCTTAGACAGGTACTAAAGGTCGTCCGATATGAGTGTTTCGTTTTGGAATGAAAACCTCAATAAACTCATTTATAAAGGCCTCGTTTCGAATGAATTTTACCATCCTTTCCAGGAATAAGCTCTTCGACCTTTCCCAGTTTCCAGAAAGCTCTACTCGTAGAGTCGTTTTTCAACAAGACAAGGTCTCCAATAGAAATACGTCGTTTGTTACTCCCCTTAGATCCGACTTGAGATCGTTCTTTCAACTCGATTAGGTATTCTCGACGCCACTGATTGGTCAGTTATTGAAGAACATGTCTCTGATGACGGGACTTCTTCGTTAGCGACTGATTTGTACTAATCACCTCATAGTGAGAAGCGTTCAGAGTTGATAAAATTCGTCTTCCATAGATCAAATCAGGAGTTAAAGGGTAAGATATCGATTCGTTGTCATCGTACACGTACGTGAGGGGTCCTGAATTAATGATGCCTTCGATCTCCACTAAAACAGTGCATATTCGTCAAAATTGAGAGTAGATCTCCCGGATCATGTGTACTATAGGTGGGCTCGGTCGACATATCGGGCGACAGTCGAGCGATATATCGGTCGACTATCGGTCGACTATCGGTCGACTATCGGTCGACAATCGACCGACTATCGGTCGACTGTCGACCGATAGTCGGTCGACAGTCGACCGATAAATGTGTCGACCGATATAGTCTTAAACCATCGATACTCGACCGATACATGACCGGTACTTGACCGATACATGACCGATACTTGACCGATACATGACCGATACTTGACCGATACTTGACCGATACTTGACCGATACTTGACCGATACTTGACCGATACATGACCGATACTTGACCGATACTTGACCGATACATGACCGATACTTGACCGATACATGACCGATACATGACCGATACATGACTTGACCGATACTTGACCGACACTTGACCGATACTTGACCGACACTTGACCGATACTTGACCGACACTTGACCGATACTTGACCGACACTTGACCGATACTTGACCGACACTTGACCGATACTTGACCGACACTTGACCGATACTTGACCGATTCACGACCGATACTTGACCGATACATGACCGATACTTGAACGATACATGACCGATACTTCACCGGTACTTGACCGATACTTGACCGATACTTGACCGACACTTGACCGATACATGACCGATACTTGACCGATACTTGACCGATACATGACCGATACTTGACCGATACATGACCGATACATGACCGATACATGACTGACACTTGACCGATACTTGACCGACACTTGACCGATACTTGACCGACACTTGACCGATACTTGACCGACACTTGACCGATACTTGACCGACACTTGACCGATACTTGACCGACACTTGACCGATACTTGACCGACACTTGACCGATACTTGACCGATTCACGACCGATACTTGACCGATACATGACCGATACTTGCCTGTTAAATGACCGATACATGACCGATACTTGACCGATACATGACCGATACATGACCGATACATGACCGACACTTGACCGATACTTGACCGACACTTGACCGATACTTGACCGACACTTGACCGATACTTGACCGACACTTGACCGATACTTGACCGACACTTGACCGATACTTGACCGACACTTGACCGATACTTGACCGATTCACGACCGATACTTGACCGATACATGACCGATACTTGAACGATACATGACCGATACTTCACCGGTACTTCACCGATACTTGACTGACACTTCACCGATACTTGACCGACACTTCACCGATACATGACCGACACTTCACCGATACTTCATTGATACTTGGCCGATAATTCATTGCCCCCCAGGGGGAGGGTTTATTCCACGATAAAAGATATAAAACTCTAATAAGTAATGTGATTACCTCATAATTTAGATGTAAATTGCGTGTCTGGAATCCAGTTTTAAATTTCTCTTGTGCCGGCCATAGCGCGTATCGTCTCCGGCAGCGAATTCCAAGTCCTTACAGCGGCGAAGTAACGAAGAGACCTTAGACCATAATAATAATAATAATAATAATAATAATAATAATAAAACTACTTATATAGCGCTTATCCAGTCCTGTTCTAAGCGCTTTACAAAAATATTAAAATATCACACGTTAAAATAATATTAAAAGTAAGTCTTAAGTTAACAGATGTCTAAGATATAGGCGTTTGACATGGATAATAAAAGAGATCATACATTAAAGTAATTTTTAAAAAGATGAGTCTTAAGTTTACGTTTAAAAATATTTAAATTGTCACAAGAACGAATGTCATCAGGTAGTTTATTCCACAGTTCAGGAGCCGAAACAGCAAAAGCTCTATAGTCATAGGACTTGAGATTAAAGTTGACAGGAGTCAGACGCAATGTTGAAGACGAACGGAGCGTTCTTGAAGTTGAATAACGGCGTATTAGGTCTTGAATGTAGACAGGAGACTGCTGGTGAAGAGCTTTATGGGTGAGCAGAATTATTTTGAATTTAATTTGCTCAGAAATTGGAAGCCAGTGTAGGTCGAACAAAACAGGGGTGATGCGGTCGAATTTACGAGAGCTGGTAGCAAGTCGAGCCGCCGCATTCTGCACTGATTGGAGCTTTTGGATAGCGTATTTGGGGACACCGTATAAAAGAGAGTTACAGTGATCCAACTTGGAGGTTACAAAGGCGTGGACTAGAGTCTCAGTGGTCTTAATGGATAGTAATTTCCTTATACGGGAAATGTTCCGAAGATGATAGAAGGCAGATTTACAGACAGATTTGACATGAGGGAGCATTGACATAGTACTATCGAAAACGACGCCGATATTTCTGGAAGATGAAGACGGCTGTATTATATCAGAACCAAAACGAAGTGGAGGTATAGACTGTTGAGGGTTGTGCTCTGAATAAAGGTAGAGAAGTTCAGTTTTGTCTTTGTTTAGCTTCAGCTTATTTAAGGCCATCCACTTATTTAGATCAGATAAGCAATTCTCGATTTTAGCAATGCTACTGGTTAATTCCAGATCATCGTTAACGGAAAAAGAAATGTACAACTGAGTATCATCGGCGTAGAAATGAAATTGCATGTCGTGAAAACGTAAAATGTCGGCAAGAGGAGCAGTGTAAAGTAGGTAGAGGATCGGCCCAAGAACGGAGCCTTGAGGTACTCCACACTTGAGCTCACGAGATTGCGATTTCCTTCCATCATTAGGACGACTTGTGTGCGTTTAGTAAGGTAGGAGCGGAACCAGTCAAGTGCAGTGCCACGTATTGAGAATTTAGAATTCAATCTTTTGAGCAGTATTACATGGTCAACAGTGTCAAATGCAGCGGAGATATCTAGTAACAGGAGCATGACACAGTGGCGATTATCGGTAGCAAGCAAAATGTCATTTTGAACACGGAGAAGGGCGGTTTCGCAGCTGTGGAATGATTTGTAGGCAGATTGTAGCGGCTCTGTGAGTTGGTAGAAGTCAAGATAAGCTTGAAGACGCACTGCCACAACCTTCTCAATGACTTTCGAGATAACCTTAAGGTTCGAAATAGGCCTAAAATTACCAAGAACTTCGTGGTCCAGGTTCGGTTTCTTGAGAAGAGGGGTTACAACAGCGTTTTTAAGGGACGAAGGTAGAAAACCAGATACCAGTGACAGGTTTACAATACTACAAATAGATGGTAGGAGCAGGTCCAGATGTTCT